AATGTTCATATTTTAAAACTATTTGTCATTGCCGGAGTGTTTTATGTAGATCGTTTGTCTTCTTCCTTAAACTTTTTGAAATTGTCACAAGTGTGAAAAACTTCTATTAAAATTTAGGTTTTACACCATTTTATTTCGTTATTGTGTATTATCAATCCATTTTATTGTATGTCCTATGTGAAGCATAGAAACATGTAAAATTTTTAACAATTACATTTCATTTTTAAAAGACGACATTTCAGAAAATGTGTTTAAGCCCTATGGATACCTTTACCGCCAGCAATCTCATTAATGTTTCAAAACGTCAGTGTTTTTGAATTAAAAATGTATTGCAATATATTTGTAATTAGTAATAACCACATTTATGTATATATTGATCCTAACTGTTTATAAAAAAGACGTAAATATGACAATAAAAATTTGCACAACAATTGCATTTTTCTTTCTTTTTTTTGTTTTATTGTTGAATACATTTTGGTGAACTATGAAGAAAAATGTGTAGATGTAACTTTAATATGACCCGCTCGATACGTCATAAAAATTTCCTTATCTTTCATTGGAGGTCTACTATTACTCTGAATGTTGCTTTACGATATTATTCAGAACACCTTAAAAAAGAAGGGCAAGTTTACGTTTGGTGCATCACAGCCCAGTGCACTCCTTGCTGGTTAGTAACACAAAATTTTCTTAAATGTACAAGAGGTGAATTTTTTTAAATCGTGGTTACTCTACAGCAGCTGTATGTATGTATGTCGAGGGGGTGGTGAAAAATTGCTTCTGCATTGCGGCACTTAGGCCTTATTAGGCCCCTTGTACACCACCCCTTTCATTACTCGAGTACTTTTCTTCAAACCACCCTATTACTACACGGGTGACTTGGTGGCAAAGTCTCGTACAATTTTTATGTATGATAGCATGGTCTTGAGTTACAGAGATTTATTGCTCTATTCTCATTACCATTTTATCGGGGACCACACGCAGGCGGAAGATGTTGAGCGACCCAGGTCTCCGGTAGGCTGCCACAGCCACATCCCGAGCCTGCCTTAGGTCACCCATCCAAGTTCGAGCCTGCATCCGTGATGCTTATCTCGGTCGATTGAAATCCATTGGCCAAGACACCCGGCTAGGCGGTCCCCCTACAGCAGCGGTATTTAAACTGTGTTCCGCGGAACCCTGGGGTTCCCCACAACCTCTGTGTGTTCTTTTTCTAAACTTTTTATTTTTATAAGTCCACGCATATACCTAAGACTTAAACAAGACGTACGTAGTTGCAAAAACAAAGTATCGCAATGTGCTTACTGCAGAATTTGAAATGTGATTGAAACTTACAACAATAGCACCTTTCCAACATATTATCAAGCACATCCTGGTCAAAAGAGTAAATGTAATATTTACTCTTTTAATTATCCAATAAATATTTACTTTAATATTTAAAGTCTTAGTTTAATTTTTAGTTAGTGAAATGTTTATTTTGTTAGTTGAGTTCGAAAATTTTTTTTGGTGTATGGGTTCCTAAAAAAAATCGAAATATTGGCCGGGTTCCACGAGTTACAAACGTTTGAAGACCGCTGCTCTACAGGCTGTCCCCAGAAAACAATAGTCAAACAACTATGACAGATGCCCGAGGTAAAAATGTTTCGATTTAAGTCAACTTACCTTAATCTAAAAATATTCGTTTAAAAGTTACAGGGCGTTAAAGTAGGTGTTACTTTTGAAATAGTTTTTCATTAATATTTGAAAACCGTACATAGTATCCAAATTAAATTTTAACAAATATCCTAAGGACTGTTATAGCTCATCGCACTGATAAGACTGAAATAGTTGAAAACATACATACCTTGTAAAGCTAGTTCATGTATGTCATTTGTCATGTTAGTTTATTACAGTTTTACTCTATGTGTTTATACAGGCTGTTACAAATTCGCTTCTCACTACAGCGATCCCGGAAACGGTAAGAGTTATGAAGTAGCTTAAATGGGGGCAAAGTTGCGTAATCAGGGGACCAACATTATGCCTCTAAAAAATCAAGGCTAACATGATTAGTTTTCGAAATATTTGAAAAAAAAACGAAATTTTGGAAATCCGTTTTTGTTTCATTTCAGCCTTGTTTGAGGTGATATTTAAAAAAGAAAAACACTTTCTCACGGCCACTGTTTGCCCTCTATCGAATGGCATAATCAATTTTTATATGTAATGTTTTGTCTCCAGAACCATTATCACCTTAATTTTTTTAAATATGACCCTAGAAATTTTATTACATTTTTTGCAAGCCTTCATGATCCCCAATACTGTACTGTCTCAGCCCGAACCAGAATCAGACGTTTTGTCTCGAAAAATTCATCCTCAGTGTATTCGTTCCAAATTTATCTAAATTTTTTATTTAGATTTCTTTATTTATTGAATTATCGTACACTGTAAGTGTCGTTAGACCCTGTGAAATCCATCTAGTTATTTAAACTATTACCACCACGCGTTACAATAAAACATTTATTATTATTAACATTAACTATTATTATTCCATCATTTGGTAATACATAACTCAATAAGTTATTAATTAAAACAATATTACAATTTTAATTTTATTACGACAAATTAATTCTTAAAAATGCATATAAACAACCAGAACGCCAACTGAATATTATTCTTTAAAAAATTTCAGTAAATGTTCAAAAACATTTTCTTTTGGCAAAGGTTAAAAATGAAGATCAGCATAATATTGTCGGAATTTATTGTATCTGTAACCGCAACTATGAAAGAGCATGTATTTGGTATTTGTATAAATATCCTAAAAAAAATAGATCGGAATTTGTTTGTATTTTGACTTTTGAGCACTCGAGGAGCTTAGAAATAACTATGGACACGGGAATAAAACTCTAATAATGTTTTATTGTAATGTGTGATGGTAATAGTTTAAATAACTGGGTGGATTTCACAGAGTCTAACGACACTTTTATTGTGTACGATAATTCAATAAACAAATAAATCTAAATAAAAAATTTAGATAAATTTGGAACGAGTACACTGAAGATTAATTTTTCGAGACAAAACGTCTGAATCTGGTTCAAGCTGAGACAGTACAGTATTGTTGATGATGGTCCTGGAGAGACGAAACGTTACATATAAAAATTGATTATCCTATTCGATTGAGGGCAAAAAGTGGCCACGAGAAAGTGTTTTTCTTTTTTCAATATCACCTAAAACAAAGCTGAAATGAAACAAAAACGGATTTCCAAAAATTTTTTTTTTTTTCAAATATTTCGAAAACTAATCATGTTAGCCTTAATTTTTTAGCGGCATAATATTGGTCGCTTGATTACGCAATTTTGCTCCCAATTAAGCTACTTCGTATCTCTTACCGTTTTCGAGATCTCTATAGTGAGAAGCGAATTTGTGACGGTCTGTATTTATAAATAATATCGTTAAGGGAAAATTGAAAGATATCGCCATTATTTTGTTGAACTGTGAAAGATATGTGTTAAATTATATTCTGTACTGCAAGTATTTATTAAAAATAAAGAATAGGTAGGTGGTAGGTAGTAGATATTTTTTATTATAGTCTACATATTCTACATTATCTAAAAATTACTACAATATTTTTATTAAAACAATGAATTTGTGCAATCAAATGTCATTCATTTAACATTATTATTTGTGTCTGGTTATTTTAGATAAATAGTTAACGTTGATTGAAATATTCTAGATAAATAGTTAACGTTGATTGAAATATTCTCTCATATTTCGAGATCATCTCGATGTAGTATAAATTTATTGTTACTAATTTTAAATTTACCGCCTGATTATATTACAGAAAAACAAAAAACGAGCCATCTATTAACAGTTTCCTGAGCCGAAACATAGTTTCACTCGAGAAGAATAATAGATGGCACTGGAAATCCCATTTTAGTACAGTCACTATATTTAGTGATTTTACATTTTAGGGTTGACAGTAATGATGGACAATTTTCCTTTGTGAATCGATTCAGTTAATTAATCGAATACATTGTTTCGATGCATCGAAATCAATTCAATTCATTATAAAAACACCCAAAGATGAAACAAATACAAACAAAATACAGAAAAAATGAAGATAAGAGCTGCTAAATTCTGGATTACATTCTTAATTTTTTAAATTAAAATTATATTGTGTAAATATATACAATCGTAAGATTGCATGTTATGATTTATTAATTTGACTATCGTCCCACATAGGTGTATGTAATTGCAGAATTCGGCTTGGCTTACTGACTGCATCTGTAATCAAATCAGTTTTACGTACCTATTATTTTACTTTTCACTTTGGACTTTTCCGTGAAATATACGATCTTGCTTAAATTTTATTTTTAATTAATAAGTAATCCAAGCTATTCAATCGATTCACCAAAAAAAAAATCGAATACATTTTAATGATACATTTTATTGATGCATCGAAATGTTTTAGTCGATTCAACACTGAATCGATTCATAATCGCCCATCTCTTGTTGACAATAATTTATAAAGAAAAAAGAGACAGACATCCCCTTACTTATTTTCTTTATAAATTTTAATACATACTACCTTAGAGCATATACTACTTAGGAGTTTTCAGAAACCCCTACCCTAAAGAGGCACACCTATTTAGAGAGTTTTTCGGAAATTGTTATTGGGTTAACCTAATCAGTTGGGTTGGATTACTGATCCTGTCGTTCTGAAAGTAAACCAGTTTGTGTTTGAAAAAAGATCTTAAATATCGAATACACTTCTCTAAGATAGGGTTATAATTATAATCTTACGCCTGTCTGGATTGCATTATGACGTTCAAAAACATTTGTTGAGAATTGGATATATCAATTTAAATATGTACAAAAATATCTCTTGAAATCGGGAAAACAGCTAGTGATCCGTCTAATCTCAGATCAGTTTCCAAAAATTCCTAATACGACTAAAGATAGTGTTCTCTGGTATACTTTATACTATTAAATCTATGGTTCAGAGTGGTTCAGACAAGGGAAAAGCGAAAAGAGGTTATGTTGTGCTGCTTACATTTCTGTAAATTCCTTAATGTGTGAAAATATTGTCTCATCGCTCTTATCACTTCATCCTTTCAAGCAGACAGTTATCTGTTATAATTTATTATTATATATCAGTATAAGTGACTCAGTGACTACTGACTCAGTTATTCTGTGGTATTACTTATAACCTATAACCTAGAAAAGTTGAGTGGCAATAGTGGAATGCCAAATTTATGTGTAATAGAAAAGAAACTATGAATAATAAGAAGAAATTTGAAATTGCATTTATACACCCAGATTTAGGTATAGGGGGTGCTGAAAGGCTTGTTTTGGATGTAGCAGCTGCACTGTCAAATGAAGGATACAGAATTAGGTTTATTACAAATCACTTTGATAAAAGCCATTCATTTGACGAATTGAAAAATGAAGAATTTCCCGTGGAAGTTTATGGAGACTGGATTCCGAGATCAGTATTTGGAAAATGTAGTGCATTGTGTGCTTATATTCGAATGATATATCTTGCTCTAATTTACATATTATTTTTTAAGAAGAAAGAAAAGCCAGATTTGTACTTTGTTGATTTGATACCAATAGCCATTCCGTTCTTAAAGTTAGCAAATGAAAAAGTCATTTATTATTGCCACCATCCCGATTTGTTAGCCAGCACTCCGGGTGGCAAATTGAAACAATTATATCGGAAACCTATTAATTGGCTTGAATTAAAAGCAACTGCACGAGCTGACATAATTTTAGTGAATAGTGAATACACCGCATCTATCTTTAGAAAAACATTCCCAGGAATTACACATGCACTTGATATTGTATACCCTACCATCGCTTATTCTTACCAAAAAGCTGTAGAAAATTTAAAAGGTGTTAAACCAATCAGTGAGTTGGTACCAGAAATTAATTCTAAAGAAAATGATGTAATTTTTTTGTCAGTTAATCGTTTTCATCCTGCGAAGAAGTTGGATCTTGCCATTTTAGCTATGAATAAATTAAAATCTCTCGTGACAGAAGAAGACTGGAAACGTATTTATCTCATAATGGCAGGGGGGTATGATCCTCAGTCAAAAATTAACAAAGAGACATACGCATATTTAACAGAATTAACAAATCAAATGAATTTGCAAGACAAAATAATATATTTAAAATCACCTTCTGATAACATGAAAACTGAATTGCTAAATTCTTGTACATGTTTACTATACACCCCAGTTAATGAACATTTTGGAATAGTACCATTAGAAGCTATGATGGTAGCAAAACCAGTTATAGCTGTTAATAGTGGAGGACCACGTGAAACTGTTGATCATGGTATAACCGGTTACTTGTGCGAACCAACAGCAGAAAGTATGGCAGAATTCATGTATCGGATTTGCAGCGATAATAAGACCAAGGATATGGGTTTCAAAGGCAAAATGAGATTACAACAAAAATTTTCTCATAAATATTTTACACATTGCTTAAAAAGAGTTGTCAACAAGGTGTTACAGGACGACGATAATAAAAAATCAAATTAGCTTTTGTTTATGAATTGAATACTTAGGGGACCAAAAATTATTTTGTGAATAAATATTTATGCTTACTAAAAGTTCTTTATTTTGTATATCGTGTACATACCTATAGTAAATCTGAACTGAATATTTTTTATACTTAATTAGATAAAAATAAATTAAATATATTTCTTAATAAACCTAATTGTTTAAACTGCCTTTCTACAGCAATTTCTTTAAATTATTTTCATCCTTCAACAGTACATTGACAAATATTTTTTGTTAAATGAATACATATACAAATTATTTTGTCCAGGAAACTTTCGGAATATCGAAATGTTCAGTAAGACTATCCAAATGTTGGTTGAATTTTTCTACCCGTTCCTTATGAGTCTGTGACGCTTTTTCCAAAATCCTTTTCATTTTCTGAAACGAGAAACAATTTATTATAATTCATTTAAAGAGCAATACCAGCAGAATCATTTGATACACTATTAAAAATTTTATATTCTTAGGTTTCAATCTGTAGGGTTCATAAGAAAATTAATATTAGCTTAATATGAAAGTCCTCGAAGAAAATTACGACTAGTTTTTAATAAAATTATTTTTCACGATTTAGTACTGAGTCTTATGAGAATGCAGTTCGAGCGTGCCAGCCAAGTGCAACATTGCCAAATCTAAAGGCATACTACTTTCGTCTAGCGAATCTACAGAAACTCTCATTTGACTTTAGACGTACCCGATAAACCTCCTTAATTTAATCCACTTACCATTTTTTCCTGCTGTTGTAGAAAAGCGAGCTCTGCTTTAGTTTTTGTTTGCTTAGAAGGTGATTCTGTCTCTTGGGTCTCTATAGTTTTCGTTACTTGTTCTAAAATTTTTTTATCCTTTTTCTTTTTTTTCTTCACTCCACTGTCACCTTTCAATTTCAATTTGCCTTTTGCAACTGCTGCGTATGGATCATCTCCCGCTCCCATCTGGAATTATAAGATTATAGAAATTTAGGTTACGTCATGAAGATTTGAAATATTAGTAGAATTGTAAACTATTAAAGAATACATAAAGACATCAACGTTTATAAATCCAGCAGAAAATTAGAGGTTTCTAAAAATTTACTCTGGGTGCTCAGATTACTGTCTGTCCTCGTTTTTTTTTTTATGGTTTTAGAAAGCGACAATGTTATGTCTATATCACTAAGAGTTAATTTTCGTAAGCCTTATCGTCTGCAATTGCTAGAGTTTTCGAAGAAAAATTAGTACATATTTAAGAATGTTTGTTGTAAATGGTACATACATTAAAATGAATATATGAAAAGCGTTTCCTAAAAAAACCTTTTAAATGAAATTTATATATTCACACCACAAACTAGTAAATGGTTTGATAATTCACGTTCGCAATTCACATTCTTTGACTTTTGACTCTTGTTTTGTCAAAACGTCAAAAGTCAAAACAAAACGGAAACTTTTCATCAAGAACTGTTCTTGACTTTTCATTTGTCAACTTTCTAGAATAATGAGTCGTGTTTCTACGATGCATTTTATGGGTATAGGATTGGTATTCCTTTGTTACCAACTTAGCGATGATGTCAAAAGTAATTTTGTACAATACCTAAAAATGTTTGAAGCCTTACCTCGATCAGTCTTTGCACTTATTTCATTTCCCCAGATTAATTGTTATACTCGTAATATATGTCCCATAGGCTTAAGACCCATATGACGTCAAAAAAAGTATTCTAGTTCTAGTCAGCCTTCGAGCATAATATTAGCTTTGTTCGCACAGCCGTGCAAACCAGTTCGGGATCTGTCAGAACTGTCAGAAGCAGTCGTCCAGCTACTTTCTCTGCTATTTCCCACAAGCATAGCATAAAAGAAGTAGCTAGACGATTGTTTATTCTGACCTGACTCATCCCAAACTAGTTTGAATGGCTCTACGAACAAAGCTATTACTGAAGATAGTGGAGATATTCTCCCAACTGCTGGACGCATTACAAGGCGAAGAGAAAGACAACTGCTATGAAGATATATGCCTCTCTCGTCGAGTATGTGATTGATTTCCCGTTACGTGGGATCAGTCGTGAGCCAATAACGTTAGGCGAGAGAGAGAGAGAGCATGTACTTTCATAGCAGCTATCTCCCTTTTCACGTTGTAACGCATCCGGCTATTGAAAGGTCACCTCCAGTAGTATATTATCAAAGATTCTAGGCTCTCAAGTGGCGTCCTTTCCCCCGGACCCGACAATATACATAACACGACACTCAAACGACTACCACACAAGGGCCTCATGGCCCTACTAAACATAACAAACGTGACACTCAGACTAAGACACTTCCCTACTCGCTGGAAAACAGCAAACATAATCCTTATCCCAAAACCCAACAAAGATCACACCATCCCATCCAACTACCGGCCCATTAGCCTGCTCCCGGTTATGAGCTGAGTGGTAGAAAAAATTATCCTAACCCGTCTAAGAACCCACTTCCAAGAACTGCAAGTCTTTCCAGACGAGCAGTTCGCCTTCCGACCCAATCACTCCAATGAACTCCAAATCCTTCGCCTTACCGGGGACAGTACACTGGTGCTGTCTAGGGGACAGTACACTGGTGCTGTCTTCCTGGACGTCGCAAAGGCCTTCGATACGGTTTGGCATGAAGGCCTACTGATGAAAATGCTCACCAACCAATATCCCATATCCTTTACCAAACTCATAAAATCCTACCTACACCACCGAAAATTCCGCATCCAAATCCAAGATTCCCTTTCCACCACCCGTCCCATGGAGGCCGGTGTCCCCCAGGGCACCGTCCTGTCCCCACACCTATACACCATTTACAACTCCGACATCCCACATCCCCCCAACACCAACATATACTTATACGCCGACGACCTGACAATCACATCCCAATCCGTAGATCCTAGATATTCCGTCTCCCTCCTCCAAAACTCCTTAGACCAACTTGAAACCTGGTGCAACAGGTGGAAAGTCAAAATTAATCCCAACAAAAGTTCGGCTATCCTTTTTACCAAACGAAAAATCCCACAAAACCTCGACAGACTGACACTATCCCAGGAACCTATCTCCTGGAATCGACAAACACGATACCTGGGCGTGACGATGGACCAGCGTCTCACGTGGAAACCGCACATCGTGGAGACGGTGGCGCGAGCGAAGACCACCAGGGCTAGGCTCTATCCCTTACTCAAAGGTGGAAACACCCTCAGTTTAAGGAATAAGCGAACGCTTATCAAGGTGGTACTTCAACCGCAGCTAACCTACGCCTCCACGGCGTGGGGTCACGCGGCAAAAAGCCACTTAAAGTCATTACAGGCTGTGGAAAACATAGCCCTCCGCACGGCCACCGACGCGCCCTGGTACGTAAGAAACACTGACATATTACGAGACTTACAATACACAAACGCTACACAGACAATAAGACAAAACGCGGAGAAACGATTTGACGTAGCCGCTAGACATGACAATCCCCTCCTCAGGCAAGCCGTTGACTACGTACCCGACGTGACCGACAAACACAAAAGACCTAGACACCAACTTTTTGACCCTGGGTGACCACCCCAATGACCCCCCCCCTGCCCGCTAACCTTTTCTGTTTCAGAGACAGCCAGGATCAAGAAACGAAGACAACGACACACACACACACACACACACACACCCCCCATACCCTCCTTAACCCTCCCCTCCCGCGCTAGCCTAAGGGCCACCTTAGCAAAGCGCATCCCAGGCTGCATAGCCGCACTACCCTACCCAACCATACCACACATAAACATGACACTACCCCCGGGGTTTACACAGACGAGCCGGCGAAGCAAGAAGAGCGCCAGAAGAAAGGGCCCTAGCCGGCGGGGCCCAGCCAGGACAAAAGGAGGTCCCACAAAGCGCCTACACCGGCCGCATTTGCGGTCGGGGTAGACGACGGATGGGGCCCACCTACGAAGGCTGTCCAGGCCTACACGAGATGAGGCAGGATAAAGAGGGATAATCCCCCTCGATCCCAAATCATTGAGGCCAATTTCTAGCCATGGAATAATGGCGAAGTGGCGTCCGATAATGATATAGTTTCACATATTCATACCACGCATTGCACATTCCCTTATTCTTACATTCATGCTTCTATCAATATTCAACCTTTAAGCTAAACATTATACTCCTGTATCAACGTCTTGAAATCATTACAAGTTGTTTAATTTTCTATTAGAGTTAGTTAACAGCTTAGTCAAGCATTTTGGTAGATTAAAAATGGATAAAAATTTTTCAAAAAAGTATTTTCTGCAGTTTAATACACATTTTCCTTAGATGTCGAAAATTTGTACCGTTTTCAGTGATTGATTTTATTCAATTTTGTAGTCTCTTCTCCACAGTAGGGATAAATGCATACTTTATCAGCGAAAGTACTGGTGTTTATATGCTTAGCTCCATATATTTGTTATAAATTACTTTCAGATGAATAAAGAGCAGAAAATCGAAAATGTAAATAATAATACTATTTAATACTTAGTTCAAAGCACGTACATACATACCTATAAACATTATTCCCTGCAGGGGTCGGCAAGTAATTTTAGATGAGGTCCGGATACTTTTGAAAATTTTTAAGGAGGTCCAGAAAAAAAATCATATTTCTTATTTTTTTTATTTTAATTTGGACTCAAATTTAATTTGCTTACTAACCATTAAGAACTCACACAATTGTAAAATACTAGAAAAAATGATAAGATTGGCATTTAAACGTAAAAAAACATGTTTCAAATAATTTATTTGAGTAATTTATAGTTTCAAAAAATTTTTGGCGGTCCAGTATTTTACTTTCCGCGGTCCGGACCTGGACCGCGGTCTGCCAATTTGATGACGTCATGACAGTCTATATAATAATTGAAGTTATATTTATTTCTACTTGTGAAAAATCGTTTCAAACTTGAAACCACTTGAAACCAAAAAGCAGCTGATTCTGTCTGTCATTTAGTGTCATTTGTCAACCTTCTGTGGTATTTAATTTGCTTTGTTTTTGTCTGCAGTGCAGACTGCAGCTGATTTTATAAATTTTAAGAATGATAAAGTGGAAATAAACTGTGAACTCGTACTATTTCAAATAAGGAATTAGGTTAAACATTTTTAGTGATATGAGTATTTTTATTAATGCTTTAAAAAATATTTTACATAGGATGTTGCAGCTGCTTTGGTTTGGCAAAAAAACTATAACCAATTCTCTAAATATTTACATTAAAACCAGCGGTGGAAGCACATTATGCGTAGATTTAGATCCTAGTTGGGATATAAAAAACCTTAAAGAATATGTAGCTCCTAAATTGGGATTAGAACCTGAACAAGTCAAAATCATTTTTGCAGGAAAGGAACTTGGTGATCGAATAACAATAGCGGTATGTGATGTCTAATGTTATTTTATATATTTACTTAAATAAATTATTTAAGGAATGTGATTTGGGTGAACAAAGTATTCTTCATGCAGTTAAAGTAAAAACCAGATCCAAATTGTCGAAATTAAGTGAAACTGTAGTTGAAGAAAATGAAGAACAGGGAAGCGAACCATTGTGTAACACTTTAAAAGATGTTATGTTTTCCAATCAGGACAATATAAGAAATGATATTCTAGAAAATAATTTAAATGGTAATGTAAGATATTTATAATTTAATTATTTCCTTTAATAAATTAATATTAAATCAGACTGGAAATTACTTTAATGTATTTTGGTAGAAAAAAATGTGCTGAAATTTTAGATATAAACAAATTTTTTATTGAAAAATTTCCAGGTTGGTTTAAACTATAGCTGTTTTACATTGACAATTTATTGATCAATTATTTGATGAAGTTGTTTCATCAATAAATTGGACAAGTGTAATGCACCAAATCTGCTGTCAAATAACTTCATGAATTTATTCATCAAGTTCATGACGAATTAGAGCATGTTCTAATTTTCGTCAATTTCTTCATGAAGTTCGGAAGCACCAACCCAACAGATTTCCAGCCTCAGATCAGTAATAAGGTTATGTTATTGGAATATGTAAATAATTGTGTGACGTCGTACTAGTTTTGCATTGTTTTTACTGATTTGTTACTCACAAACACTAATATTTATATAATAGGTATGTGTCAAAACGGTACCGCTGTCTATAACTACAATTATGAGTGGAAAGGTGACATTTTTGAAATTTATTTGCTTCTTTGATTCGTTGGTAAAACTGATTCATGCGTCAAAAAACTTGACAAAGTGTGTAGCAGTGTAAAACCACACTGTTTATCAATAAATTCGTGAATAAATTCACGAAGAACTTCGTCAATTTATTCATCAATAAATTGTCAATGTAAAACAGCTATTATCAAGAAACTGTTAAGTCATTGACAACAAACCAAGTTATGTGATTTCTCAATAATTTTATTTGAATTCATACACCAATTTTTCAGAATATCGTAAGCCTAAGGTCCACTTTTTTGTATATTGTCCTACTTGTAAAGCTTTGAAATCTGGAAAAATTAGGGTAAGGTGCAATTTCTGCAAAAGTGGTGCTTTTACTGTGCATTCTGATCCACAAAACTGGAATGATGTTTTGGAATCAAAACAGATCACTGGACTTTGCGAAAATAGTCCCGAATTTTGCGCTGATGTAAGTAAACTGCCTTGGAATTTTTGTTGTAAATAATATCCACTTTTTTAGATTCTAAATAATCGAGAGCCTACTTTTGCAGAGTTCTATTTTAAATGTTCTGAGCATACATCATTGGGAGAGAAAGATGGAGCTGTGCCTTTGTATTTAATTAGACCTAATTTAAGAGAAATTCCCTGCTTAGCTTGTACAGACATCCGGTAAGATTCTGAAAACTATTATTTTTCCCCAAGGATTTTAATATCCCTCATCAATCTCATTTTAGAGACCCTGTTTTTGTCTTTCCTTGTGCTGAAGGCCACGTTACATGTCTGGACTGTTTCCGACAATATTGCTCAACAAAACTAATGGAAAGACAATTTTGGCAACATCCAGAGTATGGCTACACTCTAGCCTGCCCTGCTGGATGTCCAGATTCTTTTCTTAAAGAAGTACACCACTTTCGATTATTGTCCGAAACTCAAGTACGATGTTAAGAGATATGTGATACTGATCTCTCACTGTATATAATTTTAGTATGCACAATACCAGCGTTTTGGAACGGAAGAATTCGTTTTAAGATCTGGCGGAGTACTATGTCCTCAACCAGGTTGCGGTATGGGAATTATACCAGATTCCTATTGTACAAAAATTACTTGTATCAATGGCTGTGGTGTAAGTACATAAATATTGTGTATATTTTAATAAACATTTCTGTAAAATTTTCGACATTCTAAGCAAAGTTCCCTCTAAACCGCGTGGGTGCGGGGCCGCACAGTAATTTTTCGAATGTTGTGCAGTCATTTTTGTATTCTGCGCAGAATGGGCTTGTTCACAATTTTTTAAAATTTCATTTTATGAAAGAATTGCATCTAAAAATTGCAAAAATCCAAAGAGTGTCCGCAAAAACAGCATATTTTTAGCTTATTTTCTCACCCTTGCCAAAGACCTTAAAAAAATCCTAAAAATAGTCTGCATATGTCAAATTATTGGTAATGAAAAATCAAGATGAGCATTTTTTTTAGTTTTTCGAAAATGTCGAAAATCACCTCTAATTACGGGTTGATATGATTACGCAAAACTGAAATGTATGAATAATATCAATAATAATAAAAGCAATTCTTATTGTATTTTTTCTATAAAATAAAATCTTACAAATAGGAAATAATTTATTTTCATGATTAATGAGGGCGTGATATATTTGTAAGTCCACTCTTAAATTCACTAAGGGGCTTAAATCATCCCCTAAATACGGAAAAAACCGAAAAAGTCAAAAAATTTTGGAACATTTTTGCTTCCCGTATACTTTTGTACCATGTAGTCAGCGAAAAAATTAGAGGAAACATTGATTCTAAGTATATTGAAATACAATATCAAAAACTGTTTATCTAAAAAAGATAATTTATCTCCTAGCATATGACTTAATTGTTTATATACTTTTTATTCTAAACAAAATTACTTTTGATAATAACTTAACCTGTGATACATAGAATGATTCAGAAAAAAAATCCAAACAAAATTGATAAGTTAATTTTTGAATACAATTTCACAATAGAAAATTTTGTGTCATGCTTATATTTTTATTTTGTGAAATTTATGATGGCTAGAATTAGAAGCAAAGTCAGTGGCTTCACCAAGTAATTAAAAAATATTTTAACTGTGTTAAATACAGGGTGATTCAGAACTTATCAAAAAAAAATAATTCTGGATGTACAGGGAACCCTTACAAATACAATTTTGTAAAGAAAAAATCAAAAAGGGCAGTTTGAAAATGATTTAAAAATACACTTCTGCATGGCACTGGAAACTGGTCCACTGTAAAACCTGACCTCGCACAATGCGACCGGCATGGCAGTGTGATAAAAACGGACAAAAAACTTTCGCAAGGAAAGAAATAAATATAATTTGATAGCACCTATTTTATATCGGCAAATTNAGAATTTAATAGCACCTATTTTATATCAGCAAATTCAACTGCTTTTACCTTTATTGTTATTATAATTAATTAATAAAATTAATTTATGTTTTTAAATAATAAAATCATTTAACATAGCCGATGTTATAACAACTGTTCAAAATTTTATCCACCAATGTGTAAATACATATGGGTCCCTCTTACTCAGTTTCCACGAACTAATACAAATGCTTCACCATAATACAAATGTTGTTTTGCTTCACCATAAATTAAAACGATATCCATCAACTCCGAGTTGCTATACACGCAAACCATCTTTGACACTAACTACTAAAAAACTATTGTAAACACCACAGATAACAGGTAAACATTATCGCAATGACGATTGAAAAATCGGATTTCAGTATTCGGAGTCGCTGAGGCCACGTGGCTCTCCACGCATATTGCGAAGGACGTTAAAGACTACAGTTGTCCAGCTATGTAGTGATTAAATGTACTATAACTTCAATAATTTTTTTCTCGTGCCGCATCTATTCCCAAATTTTTTTGGATAAGTTGTGAATCACCCTGTATATTAAAATAAACTTAATAGTAGCTCATTTTGTTGGTTGTAAATGAAAGGCAAACCTCATTAAAATGACTTCTGTAGTGATCTCAGATCAGTCGTCATCAGTGAGAAATTTAATATATTTTGCTTTATTATAATGCATACTACAACATGCCCTATTTTATTATTTTTCCAATATCTAGATTCGTCTACAATTATCCACATACTTTTCCACTGAAATCTGACAACTTGGGGGTGACTTAGGCACATATTCATTCCTACCAAAATAATTGAAATTGTTCACTACCAGCCACATATACATATGATCGAAATATGTCACATATCGTAGAAATGAGGTACCTATGTAAATGCATGCCCAAAAGACACTAAACAAAACACGAGCCTCGGTTCATGATGCAAACCCTGGGGCCTCGTCACCACACTGCTTTATTTACTCATTGAAGTGACAAACTCCAGTGATAGTAAATTAAAAAATTATCTTTTTATTTTGTAATATAAAGTACTAAGTTTTGTCAATTAACAAAACGTCTCAATATTTTATTTCATATTTACAAAGGGGCACTATTATATAGTTATTTTTTTTATCAAATTTTAGGAACAGTTAAATTACACCGAAAGACAAGACTATGGTATCTATACATTTTTGGGGTTACTGAATCCGAATCTGGGGTCTGTTTGACCCGATCAGGTCTACTAAATATTCTGAAGTTATAAACTCGAAACACTCTATATAGTTAAGTATTTATGCGTTTTAAAAGTTGAGTAACAAATAATATTAAAGAAAGAAAACTCCCCGTGATTTTGAGTTAATTTGTTTTAACATGACAAAATTCTATTGTAGGTTGCAGTACTCCCCCCCCCTGTTGATTAAGATTCTTAGTCTCAAGATTACTACTCACTTGTGGTATCATTTTCTCGATTTCAATGGTAAATCTCGTAACGACCAGCAGTAATCGTCTAACATGTTTATATCCTATCTGCCTTGGTACCATTTCCTTAATGTCAAAAGAATTTCAATGCCACTAAGCATGAATTATATAAGTTCCTTTGATTCAGAATTACATGTGAAAAAATAAAATACCTCTTCAATTTTAATCGAAACCTAACCTAACCTTTTCAAGTTATTATTTTTTGGCTTATACAATTGGATTCACTATATTTTGACCCCCCCTTTAACTTTTTTGTTTTAAGAGTTATAAAAAAATGTTAAATATAAAAGTTGCACGATTTTTTATGAATTTTTCGAAAATGATAGTAGAAAAACAAACTAAGTCCAAACAAAATGGCCGTGGATGTTAACTTTGTTAAGTTAAATGGAACACCCTGTATATTTTTACATATTTGGATAGAACGTTCCCTGTCGAGCATAGTCATGTAGGGTTTGTTGGGTCCATCACTAACAATAAGCAAGATACTATTAAAAAACAAAAAGATTTTTTATTAAGAAAATTATATATCTTGTAATTGTTAGACCTCTTTCATGCATTTCTGCCTTTTTTCCAATTGAGTAAGGATTTACAGATTTAGTTATAATATATTTTGATAGATCGGACATTGATACGGTCCAAAATGTGTATAGGTAATGTAACGAAATCTCAATAATTAGGCAGTGACAGGTCTAATTACTCATGGACATTATGGTAGGTCGTGACAGTGACAGGTAGTAATAATGTCTTGACAACATCGTTATTGATTGATAGTATGTATTATTATTTAATTAAAATAGGTTACATAGAAGTAGAAAATTATTTAGAATTAAAATATAGTATGGGGAAGGACTTTGCTCTATTTTAATTCCTATAATATTTCAATTTTCTACTTCTGTGTAACCCATTTTAATTAAATAATAATACAAACTGTCAAACAATAACAATGTTGTCATGACATTACCTGTCACTGTCACGGCCTACCATATAACATTGTCCGTGAGTAATTAGGCCTCTCACGGCCTAATTAGTGAGATTTACTTACAATATCTACAGCATTTTGGACCATATCAATGTCCGATCTGTCAAAATATATTATAACTAAATCTATAAATCCTTACGTAATTGGAACAAGGCAGAAATGCCTGAAAAAGTTTTAACAATTACAAGATGTCTTATTTCCTTAATAAAAATTCTTCTTTTTGTTTTTAATAGTATCTCGCTTATTGTTAGCGATGGACCCAACAAACCCTACATGACTATGCTCGAGAGGGAACGTTCTATCCAGATATGTAAAAATATACAGGGTGTTCCATTTAACTTAACAAAGTTAACATCCGCGGCCATTTTGTTTGGACTTCGTTTGTTTTTCTACTATCATTTTCGAAAAATTCATAAAAACTCGTGCAACTTTTATATTTCACATTTTTTTTATAACTCTTAAAGCAAAAAAGTTAAAGGGGGGTCAAAATATAGTGAATCACCCTGTACCTTTTCACAAAAAAATGTGATTTTTTTGCAAATACAATTTTAAATAAAGCTTAGTCCAAAAAATTAAGTGATAAATTTACCTCTTACTATACCTAAAAAGTTCAAATTTCTATTCCAATATTTTTTGCCTTCTTAATGGCAGTATACGTTTGTTCTGAAAGGAACAGTTTTAGTCATTTTCTAATCGCCTGTATTGTAAACTTGTTTTGAACTAAAAATAACAAATTGTAGCTGTGTATCAAAGAACTTGTAGAATTTCTACAAAAGTCAGTAAGATTTTTAATATGGTGTCTCCTGGTATCTCCCTCATTGGTTGATATAATTCTATACACATTCAATGGACATAAATTTTATTAATCTCATCAAATCTCTTTCGAGATATTTGTGTATTTGTGATGTTTTTCAAAAATTTAAAACACATAATTTACAGTTAAACAATTTTGAACTAAGGTATATGTAAGCATCAAAATTGTTTGGTAGGATTTTGTACTCCTTTATTTAAATACAATGTATAATAACTATCATCTTTTTTTTTTTTTGTTAATGTATGAGTATATATAAGGCCTATTTTATTTTCAGTATGTTTTCTGTCGACATTGTCTTCAGGGCTATCATATAGGAGAATGTCAGAATTCTGACAACGAGGATAGTACAAATCCAGAGAGTTGTAGCTACAATGTAGATCCTGAAAAGGCCGCAGAGGCTAGGTGGGATGAAGCATCAAAAAGGGCGATAAAGGTATTGACAAAACCTTGCCCAAAATGTAGAACACCCACAGAGCGAGATGGTAATACTTTAAATATTGAATCTGCATTATTTATTATAAAATATTTTACTGAAGTGCATGGTTTATTAATTTCAAAATGTGGAATCCTTTTTAGGTGGATGTATGCATATGATTTGCACACGTGCGGGTTGTGAATACCATTGGTGTTGGGTGTGCCAAACTCAGTGGACTCGCGAGTGTATGGGAAGTCATTGGTTTGGGTAATTATAAGAAAAAAGGTTTTTATTCATTGTTATTTTTGTTTGAAAAATTGACCTAATAAACTTATCAAGTTTTGTTCATGTTTTATTTTGCGAATACTGCAACAAATTAATTGCCATATCTAAAGATAATATGTATAAACAAGATAATTTCCTTGACGCACGATAATATTAGATAAAAATGTTTTTTTGCGTTTCTTAGTGCAGCTTTTATCTTGTCATGAATTAACGCTAATATCTTCATAAATTATGTTTGAAAAACATGTACACAGTACCGAATTCAAATAATTATGAAGATATACCTGGTGATTTTTTTTAACCTGAAACTTTCAAATATCTCGGAAAATAAACACTCGGAAAAAAATTTTCATAATCAAAATTTAATCATTCCGGGGAGGAAGTACTTTACTGCTAAAATTAATTCCCCTCCCCTTCCTTCCTTCGCTGTATTTGGCGAAATTAATTTTTTTTTACTATCTGCGTACGATTCTGCAATATTTTGCAATAAAAAATATTACGTTTTATGTAGATATTGGAAATATTCGCTGTCAAAAAAAAGTTTATTCATTTTGCAAATTTCGAATAACTGAGAAATTTTTACCTGTAGAAATTATTTGAATGGGGGTGAATAAACTATTTTAAGTGTAACCAAGGAACACCGTGGACATAGTAGTTTTCTGTTCCGTTTGCGGTGCCTTTGACCTATCAGGGTATTTAATTTACGGAGTCCCCTCGCCTCATCATTTTTCAATTAAAGAAAGTGCTCAAAATGATGGCCTTCAACGTCAACGCACTTATTAATCCATATTTCAAATAACTACACATTTGAGAAGTGTCTGCTTGAATTTTGGCACAAGCATTTCTGATTGGGTCAAACATTTTCTCACGTGTTGTTGGTTCTTGTTTGTAATCTTTGTCTTTGAAATAGTCCCACAAAAACAAATATGGCCAGGGCCGACACCAGGTTATATGACACCTGAAACAAATATTTGCTTACCGCCCGTCGGAACAAATAACAAATTTATTAATAAAAAGTTATAAAAAATTAAAAAACTTCAACAGACAAAAATGAATAAAAAAATATTTTAGCAAAAAAACAAACGGAAATTATAAGAAACATCGTATAAAAAATAAAACAGATATTCCAATAAAACCAAAAATAAAAAATATTCAATGAAAACAAAAAAGAAACTATATAATGTCAAAACGGGATCTTTACATATATCAGATATCAACTTTTCTACATTTTTCATTAACAAAGTCTTCAATAATATCAGCGTAAACCAAATTATTTGTTACATCTTTCTCGATAGCAAGATTGGCTAAGCCTGTTAACCGTTCCTGCGCCATGGTTGATCGTAAATAATTTTTTATAATTTTTAATTTTGAAAAAGAATGTTCTCCACTGGCCAGACATAGGAATGGTTAAAATCCTTAAAGATATTATGATGTTAGGGAAATTTTTGCTCAACTTGTTGATTTCTAAATAATTAATAAAAGCACAAAGCACGCATTCAGAGTCAAAAAATGTTTTTTTCACAGTTTTGTCCAATTTTCAATTTGTGAAATTTATAAAAAGTTAATAATCAAGTCTTAAAATGCCTCCTGAAACATCTGCTTCGCTGTTTCACCCCTTCCGCCGGCCCTGAATTTGGTGAAATAAGATCTGGTGATTTAGAAGGCCAATTGACCCGTCCAACTCTACCGATCCAGCAACCATTAAAATCATGATTAAGTACTGTGCTTGCTACCGCCAAATGGTGTGCTGGACAAGCATCATGTTGAAACATGATCTGTCGCACTTCTATGCTTAAGTCTTCAAGTAATGTTGGCAGTTCATTTTCCAAATCATTCGCAAAAGTTCTCGGTGGGAGAAATTGGAAAAAATTGAGTTTCATCGGCTACAACCAGTGGCGGTTTTACCATAAGAGCTGCGGAGCTGCAGAGTACAAAATTTTATGTATTTAATCATATTAAATATCAACAAAATATTTAAAGAATCCAAATATACTCGCGCTAAAATAAATCTAAGAGCTTATATTATTATTTATTATGATGCCAGCTACGCTCCTTAATATATGAAACCTCATATACAAAATGTGTGCACAGCGAACGGTTAGATGCGTCCTTTGTTTTTATTGGCTAATCAGGCACGTGACCCAGTACACTTTTATATGGGTTTTAGTGGCTGCAACAACGACAGCCGCTGCTGCAGTAAATGCAGTAATATTTCGTACGTGGTATGTGGTGGATTATTTCTGCGAGCGGCACGTGTGAATATTTTCGTTTAGGCGTCTACGGATATTATAGTTATTAAAATGAATAGCGTTTCGTTTTTACAAAAAACTTTATTTGGTCTCAACCTTATGAGGATAAACTAAAAATAAAAGAATTAGGTGGGCTAACACCACAATTAAATATTGAAGTTAGTGGAACAAGCCGAAGTAAAAGTTATAAAAGACAATTTAACAATAATATATACACAAAAGCAGAGTGGGTGTGCGGGTGTAATATAAAAAATACACTGTTTTGTTTTCCGTGCTTACTTTTCGGTGGGGATAAAGCATGGACAATATACAGTGTGAAAGATTTAAGTCATTAAGTAAAATAAACATAAGAAGTTAGTTAGATTCTGCATATTGGGATAATATACAGAAACACAATGAACAGGTAACCAAAAATCGTTATGTATTATCTAAAATCATAGATTGCAAAAAATTTTGTGGAGCTTTCGAATTAGCACTTCGCAGACATGACAAGAATAGAAAATTCGGACAACCCTGATGTGTTTCATGGACTCATAAATTTTAGTGCAGACCTTGACGACATATTAAAAGAACATCTAGCCACATGGGTATGACAGGATTTTCTATGATTGTACCGGGAATTAGCTGTATGGTCCCAGATTTCGGATTAGCACGTATAACTCCCAGAATATAATATATGTACATATATATAAAAAAATGATAAACAAAAAATCATAACGCAGCGAGGAAAATCAAAAATTCGTTGAATCGTTGGTAAACTTCACAAACGATTTTTTTGTTTATAAACAATATTCAATAATTTAATAAAATATATTTAGTACGCGAAGCACAAAGGCTCCATCTATCGCGCTGACTTCCACTATGCCATTCAAATGGCTACTACGGTGGAAGCGACCTGCTAAAATTTGCCAGGTACTTTATTGCACGAATGTCGCCTATAGAGGGCGAANAAATACACTGTTTTGTTTTCCGTGCTTACTTTTCGGTGGGGATAAAGCATGGACAATATACAGTGTGAAAGATTTAAGTCATTAAGTAAAATAAACATAAGAAGTTAGTTAGATTCTGCATATTGGGATAATATACAGAAACACAATGAACAGGTAACGAAAAATCGTTATGTATTATCTAAAATCATACATTGCAAAAAATTTTGTGGAGCTTTCGAATTAGCACTTCGCAGACACGACAAGAAAGAAAATTCAGACAACCCTGATGTGTTTCGTGGTCTCATAAATTTTAGTGCAGATCTTGACGACATATTAAAAGAACATCTAGCCACATGGGTATGACCAGAATTTTCTATGATTGTACCGGGAATTAGCTGTATGGTCCCAGATTTTAGATTTGCACGCATAACTCCCGAAATATATGTACATATATATAAAAAAAGATAAACAAAAAATCATAACGCAGCGAGGAAAATAAAAATTCTTTGAATCGTTGGTAAACTTCAGAAACGATTTTTTGTTTATAAACAATATTCAGTAATTTAATAAAATATATTTAGTTTATTCCAATTTATTTATACCATCAGTAGGTAATTCGTGAATAGATATTTCAAAAAGGTATCAATTTCAAAAATCGTTCTTGTGAAAATCTGTATTTATGTATAAATGGATTGTTTCTTGAAATTCAGAAGTACCAGGAAAACGTGTGACCTTGAAAATTTTAAAATTTTTCGTCTGCGGCGCCATTTAGAGACTTCGGGCACCTAATATCCCGGAATTCAATTCAACAAATGTAACAACCCTAAGCAGAACACATTCAATCAATGTTCACGCGCCGCCACTGGCTACAGCGCCATCTATCATAAAGTATAAAAAATGTTTCAGACAAATTCTTCATATTTTTAGTCGTAGAAACGAAATCTGCAATAGAAAAATAGGGATTCCTTTTTAACAGGTGGGCTAATTTTAGCACTAGTATATTTTCTCCGCCGAATGATTCAATTAAGGACATTTTTTCGTAGTGTGCTTATTTTTCAAGATATTTGCGAATTTCAGGTTAACACTTTTTCTGTCCATGCTATAACGCACCACGGTTGTGAACTAGATATGGTAGGGGCACGTTGCTAAGACCCCTATAAGGTTATTTACGTGCTTGTTCTGGGACATTTATTTTTTATAAGAAATGGCTGACTATGCAGTTCAAGGGCCATCTGGGACACAACAACTTGGAATAAGAAACCCAAAAAAGCTTACTGAAGATGAAATGCTGGCTTTGGCATTATAGTGATTTGGATGAAGAGCCCTTTCAAGATTCAGGGAGTGAGTGGAGCGGAGCAGAAGAATTAGGGGAAGATTTTGCAGATGATTTGGGCGATCCACTGGAGCCACGTCTAGACATTCAAAACAAGTAATGACCCTGATTTGTGCAATATACAACATGTTCACATTTTATCATTTGTCGCCGACACTGGTGCGTTAATGGGTACTAGGGATAATATATTTTTAAGCAGCGCCCCTGACGCAACATATGCGACGGTGTATTTTTTTGTAAAAAATATGAAGTTTTTAAACTGTAAAACAATATGATTCTATATTTTCATATAAATTGTTACAAATAATCCCAAATTAGTTGATTTTGATTTCCGAATTACATACGGTATTTGATGGGCAGCGAATGTGTTAAAAGATCATCCGATATAATGCAAACATATTTCTTAATTTTCTTACGAATTTTGCTGCTTCACGATGAGATATACAGTGCTGGAAATTTCTGAATTCTGGAGGATCTACATTTAGATGAAATCTGCAACAATGTCTCTTCGTGGATTGAGTTGTGCGAGTTCAACTCTCCTTACTTA